GTCTTCAGAAATTGATGAAGCAGTAATTGATTTATTTCCAGAAACATTATTGGCTTCACACACATTTGAAATATATAAATTTTGTGTAAGTCAAATTGAAGATGCTATTAGAAAACAAATACATGAATCAAAAATCAAAAAAACAACTGGACAAACTAGTAATAATACAAAAAAGGGTAAAAAACCAGGGAATAGATTTAATAATATGTAGACAAAAACATTTTTTTTCTTTATTTATTATTTGTTATATAAACTTTTAATATTTTGGATTTGCTAAATACTTAAACTACTACAGAATATAATAAAAAAAGTTTATCCTGTTAATTAATTGAATGAATTTTTTTAATACATATACATAATTAGATAATTCAGCAGCAAGTCCTGAACGAATTGATTCGATCTGATTCGAACCTGATACTAAATTTCTTTTAATGTCATATTAATAGTAATAAGGATTCTATTCGAATAAGGTTTATTCTAATGATCATTATGAATTTGAGTATTCAAAATACATTGAATGTTTATTCGAATGAATAAAAAAGCGAATAAAACAAATAATAAGAATTTGTATTCCAACAGAAACTCTGCATATTAATATTAATAAAAAGTAATATTGTTTAAATTTAAATAATAAATATAACAATGATAAATGACAATAATTGCATGATGCCTCTTCAATTACTTCTTCAACAGGCATAGTACAATATGTTCAAAGAAGGAAGTGTGGAACCATTTGTTCGAATTTCATTGATTCATTCTGAGCCTCATTCAGTGGATATTCGATGAATAATCACTGATTGTCCATGTGGTAAATTTTTAATTAGACCGATTATCTGGCAAATTTTTCGTCTCTATAATTAATATCCTGCTCATATGACTTTATTAGAATATAATTCCCAAAATAACTTCCAACTTAACTTTATATGAGGCTATTCCTCTTGAAAATAATTAAATAAAATTTATGTATTTAAATTTCATCAGGAAAATGGGTACAAATATTATGCGTATATAATACACAATTGCAGGGATTAAGCATATAAAATGCGTACAAATCACGTATTTTTTTTATGTATGCAAATTATACATATATTGTATGCTTAATCCCTGCAATTGTGTATTATATATGCATAATATTTGTACCCATTTTCCTGATGCCTTAATATTTCAGATATGTCAATTTTAACTGCATGATAGATATTGTTGACTGATCCGGGACCATCTAATATAAGTTTCCGGGTCCTGGTATTAGTATTAGTATGACATGATAAATAATTGCGACTAGGATCTTTTAATTTATATAAACCTTTCTTATAAAATTTTCCGTATGAACAGTGCGGATCATCTATACTCAAAAATTAAAATTTTTGAAATATTATGTGATCCACACATTGGATTTTAAAAAACTCGCCACCATTCAATTCAGCTTTAAAAAGGGAGTCTATTAATCTAAAAAAAAAACTTTGTCTCAAATTTTCTTTTTCATAGATTTTTTAAATTTGAAAGTTATGTTCGGAAGTGCAACAATAATTTTCGTGTCACACTATTTTGAATCTCATGACCAAATTTGATAATGATTTTCTTTTAATGTAATATGTTCGTTAAACTTTTTTGTTGTAAAGAACTTTTATGAAAAAAAAGTTGTTACACGAAATTTACTTAGTCTCAATTTCTTAAGTGTATAACAAATTCGGAATTTTCAAAATGCTAAGGCTCAGCCAATTTACGGTTTTAAGAAAAAACCAGCCGATAAGTTTTGAAACTTGAGTCATGAACAATAAAACTTATCGGTTAAATTTTTTAAAATGATATAATTTTTTTTTGTTTTAGTATTTTGAAGTTGACCAATTGTTACTATAAGCAATTAATGATTATAGATGATCTGCACCGTATCACATAAATTGCATCACAGTGCGAATCAAATACTATTAGTATATTAATATATTATTATTAAATCCTATTACCAAAAAAATTATTAATAATAATAAATAAAAACAAGGGATCAAAACAAAATCCATCCGCTGAAACGAGGTGTCTGGTTCGTCAGGTATGGGGGTAATCATTCGTTTATAAATTTCAAAAAAGGGACAATCTAGACATCCAGAAAACAATTAAATTGCCTTTCAATGGTGGCGGTGATTATTGAGAAATGCTTTTGTGCATCCTGGGTATTCACACTTAAAATTCTTTATTTCAAGATGGCTTTTGTGTGATCCAGCAAATAATCTTTTCAACAAACTGCTTTACATCCTGGATATTCACACTTGAATTTTTTTTCACCATGAATATTAGTGTGTTGGTTATTGTTGATATCATCATCAAAATAAATTTTGTCCTAATGCATGTATCATGTGGTATTTGTTCTATATAGTTTTATCTATATGAGTTGCTAATAGACAATTTAATATCTTCAAATAATCGCTCAACTTTGTTTTCCCGAATCCAATTATTAGTTAACTAATGCAGATACAATGTATCTTCCCAAGTATTAAGGAGCCTCTTTTAACATTGATCCTGATTCTACCAAATAACTTTCAACTAACAGTTAGATGTGAATTGATCCTTTCCGATATGCCCAACGAAATAATTACTTGGTGTGGTTGGCGCCTACCGATCCCATATGAGCCTAGCAACCCAAAATCGACGGATATTTAAAAAAAAAAATTTTTTAAAATTGACTATTATGACTCTGCCCTATATACCACTTACATTATTACTCTCCATGAAGTCACAAGATTCACATAAAGCGATCTTTTTTTTATGTTTACCACGGCCATCGAGCAACTTTGCTATAATATATATACACATGGTAATCATGAATTATCAGCAGAATCGATCTTTCTTTTGATGGGCATAGATAAGGTCATGTTGTAGATGTATTACAAGGACCAGAGATTCCTACTACCACCAATCTAATGATATTATCAATATGTCAGTAAACTAATAAATGCATCGTTCAATTAGTCGCTCAATAAATGGATAAGACAGCATATTATGTTTTTTGACATAATTACCATAGGAATTGAATTTGGAATATACAAATCTATGTCTATTACTCCTGTTTTTAAATATTTTTATAATAAAAATTTAATATCCAGTATATTACTACTTATTGAATATGTTGATGGTGGTGTTAGCGTTCGTTACTTTTATAAAAAAAAGTCTCGTCCATTTATTTATAAGTCTAATTATATAATTTTATAAAACAACTCGATAGTCAAAGCTCGTTACAGTGGACAATTAGTAAAATCTCATGTTACAGTGGACTTTTTTTGTTTTCTTTTATAATATTTTTATAATTAATTAGCTGCTTCTTATCACAGTAGAAAAAATAAAATATATATATAGAACCATCTGCTCTGAGCGTATTTAAAAAATAAAAATAAATAATAATAATAACAACATTCTATTTTATCTACTAATTAATAATCAATTTCATTGACCCATAACTTCACAGTAGGATCAGGTCTAAGAGTGATACTTATTTTACTTGTAATTTTGAAACCTTCGACTTCATGGAACTGGAAGTTTCTTAATAAAGTGCACAAGACAACTTTCGCTTCATTTAATGCAAGCTTATTACCAATACATGATCTTGGCCCAGCCGCAAATGGCAGATAATTGTAATGAGAAAGACCTTTAACTTTTTCTGTAAACCAACGTGATGGTTTAAATTCTTCGACATCATCACCCCAAATTGATGCCATATGGTGAATTTGATAAATTGGTATGAGAATTTCCGTGCCCTAAATTAATTTAACGATGTTAATAATATTATAAAGATAATAACAGATTCATAAATAAAATAATACCTTTGGAACAAGATATTCATCAATCATGACATCTTCTTTTGCAACACGATGTGAAAATAAAGCTTTTATTATAATATTAAAAAAAATATAAATATATAACGAATGCATTTATATTCATATAATAATCACAACCATTATTCATTATAATAATATACCTGGAGGGGAAATTCTAAGAATTTCTTTGCAAACCGCATTTAAATATTCCATGGAATTGATCTGATCAAAATTTGGCTCAAAATCTTTATCAGGAAATTCTTTAACAATCTCTTCTCTCAGTTTGTCCTGAATTTCTTGATCTTTGGATAAATAATACAATGCCCAAGACAACATAACAGCGGTTGTCTCATATCCCGCTATCAAAAATGTCATAATCTTGAAAAAAAATTTTTTAGTTAAAAACAATAATGATTGATAATTATAAAAAAATGATTTCCTTCGTAGTAACAATTACCTGATTTCTTATTTCTTCAAAGCTCATTTGTTCACTTTTATCTATTTCCTGTCCATAACTAGCTTTCACCAATACACTTACCAAATCATTGCTATCCAATTTACCTTGTTTCAATTTATCAAATTTATCTTGAACCAATTCCTTTGTAATTTTTTCAATTTCAACCGCAGCGTTTTCGATATCTTTATTCATTTTTAATGGCAGATAATTCACTATGGGTAAAGCAAGTGCTAATAAACTAATCGCTAACACGTCGTTGTTATCCAAAAGAGTGCTTAATGTTTCTGCAAGTCTTGATGTTCCCGTTAAAGATTTTATTTCAGAATCAAACCCTGAATAACAAATAATTAATTGTGTGATTAAACACTGATGATTGATTTTAATTGCATTATTTTATTATCCGTGCAATCCTATTTATAGAACCACTTACCAACTATGCCAATAACATCCAAAGATATTTTTCCCATATAACGACCAACATCAATTATTGCACTTTTTTTATCAATATTATTATTAACATTTTGACTATTCTTTATTTCATGCTTCCATTGATCTTTCACTATATTAGAAACCCTTGAAAATGCTGGTATCATATTCTAAAACAATATTAATATCAATATTAAATACCAGAAATTCAAAATTTTATTGTATAATAATATTCCATCCAACAAACCCGCTGTTAATGTAAATATTTACCTTAATACTGTTATGACCGAACGATGGATTCATCAGTCTACGGTGTCTTTTGTGTACGTCACCATCTAGCGCCAAAAGACCTTCTCCAATAATCCTCTTGAAAGATCCCGTGGCGATTTTTCTACCAAACTTAGTATACGCATCACTAACAAGTACTTTTTGAATATTTTTTTCGTCGAGAATATGAACTCTTGGTTCATTGAATAATCCATAACACCTGTATACACCGCCATATTTTTCTGCCCAATGCATTCCACCCTTATTAAATTAAATAAATATAATGGATACGGAGGTCAAATTTTTTTACTTTTATATAAACATAGTTATATATATATAAATTATGCCCTCACCCTAGGTTTAACCATTTCCAAGAAATTTCCTAACAAAAAATGGTCGGGGCTAGGACCAGGCATTTTGCATAAAGGAGATAAATATAATGGATAAATTATCCATTTATAAGTATAATAGCCGACGAGGAGTGTCGCGACGACTAAATACGCAGTTGTGCTTTCAATTATAGCCATCGTTGTTGTTGTCGTTGTTATTTTGTAAAGTAAGATTTATTATTATTATAATTATTGAATTAAATTTAAAATATTGAAAAGAAAAGAACGTTCGCTATTTATTTAATTGCTTACTGGGACCATGTTTATCCACGGGATAATTCAACTACGCCATATCAAATGGGATTATTATTATTACTATTATTATTGGTACGATTTGAAAATCAAATTTCCAGGTTAAATCGGCGCATATAAAAGGCCTTGTAATTTAATCTTTACTACTATTAACCGAAAAAAAAAACAGGAAAAGAACCGTCACACATTAATATTAATATCAGTCAGACGACAGGCATTTCACGCGATCGACATGTTTTCTTTGGGTTCCAATATTATATTAATATATTAATTTTCATTATTGAAGATTTTTTTTTTTGCCGATCATTTGCAATTAGCTTAACCGGAAACACATGAAAATTTTTTATTAATATTAATAGAATCCAACATATTATTTTCCGATAGATTAATAGTAAAAATAAGTAACTTGATTAAACATTCAACTGTGTTGGAGCATATAATGACTCTAATTCACCGTAGGGAAGCATCAAATACAAACCGTTTCTTTAAGCTTAAAATTATTCCCGCAACTCCAACCACTCGTAGGTGGCGCACTGAAGGTCACAAAGTCCTCTTCACTCTTTAACTGCTATCACAAACACCCCACTAATGATCTTTCCATTCTTCCGGGTGAGTGAGCGCTTAAAATTAACTTGGTTTAGCTTGAAGAAAAAGATAGGTTCAATAATACATGTTTCTCTTTTTCCGAAGATCATATTAGGAAGTGTGAGAGAATCGAGCTCGATGATGTTCGTTACAAAGTAGTGAAATGTCATTTACCAAATTATTAAATAAAGCGAATTCCTCATATCCTCATACAGAGGTATATATGACTTTAAAAACCCATTACTCTCCTTCACCAGAGTATCAGACACCACATATTTGTTTAGCCTGTGGTTTATGACGTGTCATTATTAATGGAATTAATAGAGATCCTCAAACAACTACAGCCAAAATAAAAAGTGCTTTGGTTTCGCTGAAACTTGCCTTTGGTGTAATAATGAGTTTTTGCGAAACATATTGACCAGCAACAAGGTACTATGTATTATATTGTACATAATCGATTTTTTATTACTATGTGTAAAAGAAATTTCTCCTGGAACATCTTGGCCGTCCGCAAAACAAATAAACGATCTCCGATTTAACTCTAGTCAATCGTCTTTCTACTTTTGAATGGATATATTTATTTGATAACATTATTTTATTGTTTTATAATATTATTATATTTTCTATCTTATCTATAGATAATTAATAATATAATTGTTCTTTCGTGGCTTTCCATATTATTTTGCTTTATAAATTAAAACACTGATTGAAATATGATTAGTAATAATAAAATAATTAATAAATTAAATCAACACGTAAAATTATACAATATTAAAAAATACAAGAAATATAATGATATAGATTGAGAAAATATAAATTACATAAATTAAAAATTCTATAAACAATAATTAATATAAATGATATTAATAATAATTAATATATATATTGTTTTTGTGTACATTAAATTATTTGGTTTTTTCCTTTAACGTTTCTAAAGCTTTTTTTAGATTTCCATAATTATCTTTTAAAACCTTTTTTGCCATTTTTTCTTCCCATCCACATTCCACCAACCATTTTATCATCTTTTTCGTTTTTTCTTCATTAACCTTAACTTTCCATGCTTTATCAACCGCTTCTCTAATGTCTGCTTGTTTATTTTCTAAAATTGTCTTTATTGTAATTTCAAATGCTCCGCTAATTGGACGATGATCAGATACTCTACATTCATATCTGTGATAATGTAATTGTTTGACTCCTTGCCCTTTATGCAATATTCGGTCGCACCATGCTGGTGTTCTTTTCTTCTCTGAAGTGTCATACTCGTCTTCTCCGCTATCATATTTATATGTTGGCGCGAAATTTGGTTTAGCTTCCTGGAATGATCTTAATCTAAATCCTGGATTATTATTCATTTGTTTATTTAACTGATCATGTTTAAATAAACGAGCATAATCTTCGTTTTCAATCGCTTCAAAAACTTTTTCTCTTGGTAAATCAATTCGATAATTAAGATCTCCACTGAAAAAACAGATTTCATGGTCAAGTATCGTTGAACCATCACCCCCATGAGTAAAAACACCTTCATTTTCTTTCCATGCAATATTAGTTCTTGAAGGGAATTCTGTATTATCAAGAATATTTGCTGCATCGGTATTTCTGGCAGTAATTTGACTTTGACCTGCTGCTAAATGACAATTCACAAAACATATCGATGAATCTTCATAAATAAATCTTGTTGCAATCGACCCCTATCATAAATTATGTAGTGTAATTATTATTATTATTGTTATTGTTAGTTCTACTATATTATTATTTTTTAGTTCTATTAATGTTGTTGCAGTTTTATTATTTATTTACCTTATTGCCATGTAATCCTTTTAATCCAGTTTTACGAATTGTAACATCTATATCCCTAATAGATTTAACTTCTGACTTCTTTGCAAAAATACATGTGAATAAACCAACAAGGTTTTCAGAACTAATAATTTCATATAAATTTCCATTTGACGTATATTCACGAACAATTTTCTCAAGTTTATCATGCCATAACTTATACCTTTGGGTAACATGTTCATTTAATTTCTTTTCCGATTTTTTTGCTGTCAATATCATTGATTCTTTAAAAAATTACATAATAAATATAATAAATATACACGTGTTTCATAAATTTAATTTTGAAACTTTTTTTTGGAAAATAATTTACTAACTTGCTGTCATTTTCCTAGATTCCAGATCAATAATTTCCTGAAAACCAATTACAATTATATCAGGTGAATTGACACTTGTCAGCCAAAGTCTTAAAAATTTGGTACTGTCAGTCGATTGTTCTAAATCTTCTGGTTTAGACGCATCAATATTCCATGAACATATTAAAACTTTAACTTTTCTATAAGTACAGTATTCAGGTTGGAATGAACACATTTCATCAGCTGTAATAACAATAACGATTATTAAATTATTGAATTATTATTATTATTTAATTATTTAATTATTACTGATTATTATTATTAAATTCTTACCAATCCAATCGGCTTGCATTAAACCATCCCAAGAAGTAATTTGTCCTTCTGAACTTAAACTAGCAACTTGCAGTCTATTAACTCTCCATAAAGACGTTTCATCCAATTGCATATCGATGACCGGGGATTTGTGAGCTTGCCAGTCCTTAATAACGATCCAAGGTGATTTAGTAACGTCATAAATATATATCATTCCTGTTTTAAATCCTGCCCAAAGATAATCACCAACACCTAATAAAGATGTAATACTATATACAGAAACAATAATTGTTGATATCTTGTTATACGATCTGATGTTCCAAACAGATATTTTGCCATCCTCATGTCCAATATAAATTAGAGAAGGGTTGCTTGTTTGGGTCATACATTTTATACTTCCAATTTCTGCCTCTAATTCAATTTTTTTGGAACTTGAATCAACTTCGTCAAAAGGATTAAAAATTTCAATAACTCTTCCGTTTGATGACCATAGACAATGGCCGACAATAATAGCGCTGGTTTGTTTAGGAGTAATACGACAAGGCTTAGGTGTTGATTTCAAAGTTAAACATCCATTTCCATCCTCAGACCATATCATCAATTTACCATTATCATCAATTGTCCATAATTGAAATTCATGACGTAAAATAAAGATGATAGGATGGTTGTGAGCCTTTTTATTGATTTCAATATATTTTTCCTTATTTATATCAATAGCAAACAGATAACCATCTTGTGAGCCACACCACAAATATCTACCAACATCTTCAACCCGTCTTGATGGACGCCAACACATACTAATCACTTTGGAATCTTCATGAGAAATAGTATTGATAGTAGTCCCTTCATCCAATGACCATACTCGAGAAAGACTTGAATCGGTAATAACAAAATTTCCAGCAATTGCAAAGGCGCGTATTGTACTTTTATGCTGAATATCTTTAATTCCGGGGAATCTCGGTGGTCTGCGATTAGCATGAGCTATATCAGGGGCATCAAGTTCAGAAATAGCAATATCAACCACTGAATCATCATCAATGTCGTGATCATGATTTGGTTCACTTTTTCCAGCTCTAATATTTCTTGAAGTTTTTTTGCCATTTTTTATATCATCATTATTAACATGTGATGCTAATTGAGGACGTGTTGGAAGTGGTGGTCGTTTATCGGCTTGATTTTTATGTGATTGAGGTGTAATTAATCTATCATTGTCATTATCATTATCATCACTATCAATATCGTCGTCGTGGTTTGGTCTTGGAGGCAATCTTGGTTTATCATCTTCATTCTGTTTATTAGATATTCTTTGAGAATTAGGTGATATTTTACGGTATGGTTTTGATAAGTTACTATTAGGTGGTTTCTTTAAATAAGAATCATTCTCATCATCCTCATCGTTGATGGTCGATGTTTGAAAAGGTTTGGTATGTGGTGTAATTTCTTTGGCATTAGAATGATGGGATTTAAGATTTAATTTTGAAATTTCTTGATCATCTCCAAAAGGATCAACATCATCAGAATCATCGAATGGATTATCTTGTGAAATTTTTTTAGAATGTGATTGTGATTTAAACGACGGCGACGAGGATGACAATGTAGTATGTGGTTTATTAGATATTAATGGTGATAGTAATGGTAATGGTGACGGTAATGGTGATAACGTAGTTGAAGGTTTAGTAGGACTAAGTATTATGCCTTTTGTTGTGGTACTATAGTTGTTAAGTGGTTTTGATCTATGAGCAGGTATTGGTGGAGGGGTTTTTTTTCCAGAATCTAATTGATTGGTGACTGTGTGAGCGTTTTTAAAAGATGGTTTTTGTTTTATTTCATCTAACTTAATGTTGTCCTTTTCTATATTAGAATAAGAATTAGTGGTGTCTGACATTAATGATTTTTCCTGTTGTGGTTGATCTGTTTTTTTATGCTGTTGATGCGCTAAAGTAACAAGATTTTGAAATGTTGCTCTAGCGTCAGAAGTCGGTTTTCTAACGTCATTTGATTGTGGCTGTTGAGTTAATTGTTCAAATTTTGATTTAAGTGATTTAACATTTTGCTCAACTGACTCATCTGTATTGTTATTTTTGTCAATCTGCACTAATAAGAAAGAATTCATAAAATAAACATGTATCATGAAAAACTAATTATATAAAGTTTTTAGAAACATACCATTTTCATATGTTAACTGTGTTAATAATCTTCTTAAATAAATACTCCAGTAAAATGATGATGGTTTTTAATTTTATTAATGATGCTTAGATAAGAAAATTGAGTTGGTACAACAAAGTTGTACATTTCAGGAATGATGTTTAATTAAAAATTTCAAAAAAGGATTCACCGTTTCACGAAAATCAAGTCAACGGTTAACAGTATGGACTAAAAAAACAAGGTGTTGCAAGTCTAAAAATGATAAAAATAAATCTTTTTTAGTCTAATCGAATCAATATATTTACTGCGGCATGATTCAGAAATTTTGCCACAGTCACTGGACATTGCAGATCATATATTAAACATATATATAAAAGTTAACAAAATGCAAGAGTAATCATGGCGGAGCTTATCGGTCTTATTACCCAAAAATAGAAAAAACTATTACTATAATGATTTTAATAACCACCCCACCCCCAAAATTTGACGCATAAAATAAAAAAAAGTTACCGTAAAGTCTTGAAAGATAGCACCCCCTTTTTTACAATATGATCGATATTCAATTTGAGCATAAGATTAACCAAAAACGAGTTTATTACACAAAATATTAAAATATATATTAATATTGACATTTTTATAAAAAAAATTATTAGCCTCATTTCTTCCATGAATTTTTGTAAACTTAACTCTGTCTTTTTTTGAAATATTGTATATGATGATTTAATATGTATAATTTTCTGTAGGAATATTTTTTTTTGTTTATCCTGTGAAACATATCCTTATATCTTTCCAGATTTTATGGTATTTTTAGAATTTTATATTTTATCAAAAAAGGAAAACTTTGTATTAAAAAATTTCAAAATGATAAAGCCAATTCTTCAAATAAAATACATGATCTGGTATTTTTCTATGTGCAAACTGCAAATGTCCAGTCAATCTCTTTCCATACACATTGCAAAGAAACATTTCTTTGTGAGCCAGTCAATAACTTATCTCTCCACAGCTCTATTTTAACTATGCTGTTTTCCTTTTGGCTTACCTCAAAGTGTCACATTTTCGTGATTATTAAGGAATAACATTGGTTTCAGAATTATTATTTGGACCAGAAACAATTCAGCACATAAATCTTCTTGGGTTTCCACCTTTATCACTATGACTTGTCTACCATAAGAGCATATCTGCATAGACACCATGATTTGAACCATTATCAAAAGTAAGGTTTCTGGTCGAAACTGCTTTTATTAGTAGCCGAAATTGCCCAAATACTTTGGGCAAAAATTATTTTTTTATAAGCCCAAACTACTTTTTGTTATT